GTAATCCAGTTCATTAGCAGAATATGTGAACAGTGGGCTGTAATCCCGTTTGTAAAAAGAATGTGTGAACAGTGGGCTGTAATCCAGTTTGGAAATTGCGTGTGTATGGAGAAAGATGTAATCCAGTTAATAAAAAGGTTTATTGCAAGAGTGTGTGAATAGTTGGCTCTAATCCAGTTCATTAACAGTGTGAACAGTGGGCTGTAATCCAGTTTGCAAGAAGAATGTGTGAACAGTGGGCTGTAATCCAGTTTGTAAGAAGAATGTGTGAACAGTGGGCAATAATGCAGTTTGGAAATAGCATGTGTGTGCAGAAAGCTGTAATCCAGTTTGTAGACAGAGTGTACTGACAGTGTGTGTTGTTATGCAGCTCAATATCCTGGTGGACACGGGCAGCAGTAATTTTGCTGTGGGCGCAGCCTCGCACCCCTGCCTCCGGAGATACTACCACCGCTCACTGTAAGTAAATACTGAGCACACTGCACACTGCAGGCTGAGGACACACTCCCTCCTTTATTGGCCTGACCGCTAAATTAGTGTTGCCAAAATCAATACAATGTCTACGTACATCTATAATAAAAATACACCCTCTCTCTCGTGTGCTTCACTGCCCACGTTTTGGGACACAGGCTGCAGAATGAGGCAATTAACTGCACAAGCAAGCCTTGAACGTTTCGGTTTCACCATCAGTACAAGAACATAGAACATTCCTACATGGAAAACTCCCTAACGATCAGTGGATCGATCAGCCGCCCGGGTCACACGAAGCGAGCAGGGCGTCTCTTTCGCTGTAGCAAGTCCGAAATACCGGTGAATCCGACTCACCGGCCCGACGGATCTCAGAATCTCGGAGTTTGCTCCGCCTCGCTTTCTTGATCCCGCTGCCATGTTGGGGTTCGGCTCTGGGTTTCCCAGGGATTCAACTGAAAAAAAGTTGAGGAGTCTGGCCAGTGGAAAATACCCCCATTTTCCCAAATAATAATAATAACTCCTCACACTTCTAGAGCTCTTTTCTGGACACTCCACTCAAAGCTCTTTACGGGTCATGGGGATCCCCTCCACCCCCACCAGTGTGCAGCCCCACCTGGATGATGCTCCAGTCCTCTCCCCACACACCAGCTCTCAGTGGGGAGGAGAGCAGAGTGATGAAGCCAGTTCAGAGAGGGGGGTTATTAGGAGGCCATGACTGGTAAAGGCCAGGGGGATATTTGGCCAGGACACCGGGGTAACACCCCTACTCTTTTTGAGAAACACCCTGGGGTTTTTAATGACCACAGAGAGTCAGGACCTCGGTTTTACATCTCATCCGAGGGACGGCGCCTGTTTACAGTGTAGTGTCCCCGTCACTATACTGGGGCATTAGGACCCACACAGACCGCAGGGTGAGCGCCCCCTGCTGGCCCCACTAACACCTCTTCCACCAGTAGCCTCAGCTCTCCCAGGAGTCTCCCCTCCAGGTACTGGCCAGGCTCACTCCTGCTGAGCTGCAGGGTGATATGGCTGAAAACAGCCCAGGTCCAAACCAGAGATCAGATCCTTCAAGTCCTGTGCGTCAGCAGCCTGCGGTTCCAGCCAGGGTCCTGGTGCTCTCGCCCCCCCCCCGCACACTGACGCCGCTCTCCGTCTCCCGCAGCTCCAGCTCGTACCGCGCCCTGGGCCGCGGCGTGTACGTGCCGTACACCCAGGGCCGCTGGGAAGGCGAGCTGGGCACCGACCTGGTCTCCATCCCCCACGGGCCCAACGTCACGCTGCGCGCCAACATCGCCGCCATCACCCAGTCCCACCGCTTCTTCATCAACGGCTCCAACTGGGAGGGCATTCTGGGACTGGCCTACGCCGAGATCGCCCGGGTCAGAGTCAGGGGCAGGGCGGGGCGGGGCGGGCTCCGTTGTCTGTGGTTTTTGTTTCATTGGCGATTTCGATGTTTTGTACCGCCAATGGGCCGGTAACCAGCAGGACTTCATGCTGCGACCTCTGAACCCGCGCGACGCACCCCTGGTCTGGCGGCCGGTGTTGGACGGGCTCAGGCCACAGCAGCTACCCTCAGCAGGGGCATCTGCCTGTGACGAGCCACAGGGGGGGCGCTGTTGCACGGTGTCAGCCCGGGGTGCCGCTACATCCTGCCCCGCGGTGCTGATGTCTGACTTTGTGCCTTTCTGCCCCCCCCCACCAGCCCGACGAGACGCTGGAGCCCTTCTTTGACTCCCTGGTGAGACAGACCTCCACCCCCAACCTGTTCTCCCTGCAGCTGTGCGGCGCCGGGTTCGGGCAGAACGACAGCCAGGGCCCAGCCACTGTGGGCGGCAGCATGGTGAGGGGGGGTGAGGGAGTGACGTGGGGGTGAGGGAGTGAGGTGGGGATGAGGTGAGGGCAGGATGGGGATGTGAGAGGTGAGGAGCGATGAAGGGGTGAGGGGGGATTAGGGGTGGTGAGGGAGTGATGTGGGGGTGAGGTGAGGGCAGGATGGGGATGTGAGAGGTGAGGAGCGATGAGGGGGTGTGAGGTGAAGAGGGGGTGAGGGCAGGATGAGGGGGTGTGAGATGGGGTGAGGAGGGGTGAGAGGAGATGAGGACTGGTGAGGAGAACATTCGTGGGCCGAGTCTGTTTTTGGGCCTCATGCCCTCTGCCCTGTGCAGATCATCGGCGGAGTGGACCCCTCGCTGTACGTGGGGGAGCTGTGGTACACCCCCATCCGGAGGGAGTGGTACTACGAAGTCATCATCGTCCGCATAGAGGTCAACGGCCAGGACCTTCACATGGACTGCAAGGAGGTGGGCTGGAGTGTCTGCCTGCCTGCTCGTGTGTCTGTGTGTGTGCGCGTCTGTTAGTGTGCCTGCCTGCCTGCCTGCTCGTGTGTCTGTTTGTGTGCGCGTCTGTTAGTGTGCCTGCCTGCCTGCTTGTGTGTCTGTGTGTGCGCGCGTCTGTTAGTGTGCCTGCCTGCCTGCCTGCTTGTGTGTCTGTGTGTGCGCGTCTGTTAGTGTGCCTGCCTGCCTGCTTGTGTGTCTGCCTGTGTGTGTGTGCGTGTGGGTGCGCATGCGTGTGCCTGCCTGCCTGTGATAATTAGTGTCTCCCCCCTCTGTCTCAGTATAACTATGACAAGAGTATCGTGGACAGTGGCACCACTAACCTCCGCCTGCCGAGAAAGGTGTTCCAGGCTGCGGTGAAGGCCATCGAGGCCGCATCCTCCGTGAGTCTCTCCGTCCCCGTGTCCCCGTGTCCCTCATGCCGCCTCATGCCGCCTCACGCCGAGCGCCTTCGTGTGTGCCCGTATTCCTGGCCTGACGGATCCACTGCAGGATTGCCCAAGCATGACAACACGACAGTTCACTACAATTGCACCACACAAGTAGCGAGTGCGGCGCGAAGACAAACGATCACACCGTGACAGGGCTTGAACCCCACTGCCGCAAGTGCGTTTATTACGGGATCATGTGAGCCCCTCTGTCTGCACCCAGATCCAGGCCATCCAGCTCACGGTGTGACTCAAGGTAGGTTTTTGCAAACTAATTACATTTTTAAGTTACTTCATTAGATTAAAAAAAAAACAACAATTTTTCTTTGCTGATTTTGATGACCTGTAACTTCTTTCAGTCATGATAGTGATCAGTTTGAACATTCAAGTTAAATATTTGATTAATCATATTTACTTTAAAAATACAGAAATTATTTGTAATTCAGCACAACAGGACGTCATTGCAAGGGGGCGAGTTACCTCATAGACTCCAAGGCACTGTGTATGAGGACAGCGAGTCTGAAGGAACCCCTCTCCAGTCCTTTGTCCCGGTCTTCCTTTGTCCCTCTCAGACAGGACAGTCCATTGACCCTGTGTGTCTCTGTCCCTCTCAGACGGGTCAGTCCTCTCACCCTGTGTGTCTCTGTCCCTCTCAGACGGGACAGTCCTCTCATCCTATGTGGGTCCCTCTCAGACGGGACAGATCTCTCACCCTGTGTGTCTCTGTCCCAGACGGTCAGTCCTCTCACCCCGTGTGTCTCTGTCCCTCTCAGACAGAACAGTTCCCTGCTGGCTTCTGGCTGGGGGAGCAGCTGGTGTGCTGGCAGGCAGGCACCACGCCCTGGCACATCTTCCCAGTGGTCTCACTCTACCTGATGGGCGAGAGCCGCAACCAGTCCTTCCGCATCTCCATCCTGCCGCAGGTCAGGGGGCAGGGGTCGGGGGTCGGGGGGATGGCAGTAGCGCTCCGATTGTCTGGCAAGAGCTCCAGTTCAAGTTTTGCAACAGTCCTTGGAGCCTGGAGTTTTGGGGTCCCGGGCCAGTCCCGTTTTAGAAGTGTACCCCAGAAGACAGGTCCTTTAACCACGTGTCAGTCCCAGCTCTAGAGGGCCCAGTGCCTGATGGGTTTTGTTCCATCTGAGCTCTCGGCTGCACAGCTGGTCTAATTATTCAATAACAACCTTATTTGTTAATACAGGCTTGTACTGTAGGTGTTTGTAGAGGTACTGTAACTGTACTTTTACAGAAGGGCATCAGTGAAAGACATTGGGACAAAAATCATTTTATATCTGATCAAGAAAATATGTTAGTTGCTCTATTGAACATTCAGTTTGGACCAAGAACCTGGAACAAAGACACTAGGAACTGGGTTGGACTCCCCTGCTGTTGGCACTGCCTGCTCAGTCAGCCCCGTGATCATCAGTCATGTCAGCAGAGCTGCCACCTCAGCCCCTGATCCTGTCAAATCTAAGTGACGCAGATCCGAGCCTGGTCTGGACCTGATCTGGGTCTGGTTTGTCCTGGGATGGTAGACCTCCAAGGGAAATCCAGGCTGTTGCTGTAAGCAGCTACCATTGGACCAGTAGCTGGCGCTCTTCCCTGTGTCTGAGAATGTCCAAACCAAAGGCCATTGCTGTAGAGGGCGCTAGAGAGCTCTGCAGCTTAGAGACCGGCAGCTCTGGAGTTGAATTAACTATTAAAGACTTGAAGCTTTGTACTAAAACAGTTTCTCTCCTTCCCTCTTCTCTCCTGCTCTTTGTCGGCCCACTGGCACCACTTGCACCCCTCTCCACTCGCTTGCCTTCTCCTTCCTGCGCCCTCCCCCTCTCTTTCTCACTCCCCCTTTCATTCTCTTCCCATCTTTCTTGCTTCCTCCTCTCTCGCTCTCCCTCTGCAGCAGTACCTGCGGCCGGTGGAGGACGTGGCCTCCTCCCAGGAGGACTGCTACAAGTTTGCCATCTCCCAGTCCAGCACGGGGACGGTGATGGGTGCCGTCATCATGGAGGGCTTCTACGTGGTGTTCGACCGGGCACAGCGTCGCATCGGCTTCGCCGTCAGCACCTGTCACGGTGAGCAGGGGTGTGGAGGGCAGAACCGCGCCGTTCGGACACCAGCTGCCGGCGTGCAGGGCTTGTGTTCACTGGCGAAGCTCACTTAGCTCTGCCAATACATCACTGGCTTCTATTTTATATAATCCTACACCACCGCCAAGCATCGGGACTTCCCCATGGCTCAAGTCAGCAGTTTTGGGATGAACCCACACCCTCACCTCTGCCCGGACCCAGAGCACCACTCGCGGGCGTGACCGCGGTCCGGTCCTGGCATTCAGGTCAAGCGATCGGTGTTGACAAGGAGCAAGCCTGTACCTTTTCCTTTCTCTGGTATCGTACACTGGTGTGGTCTGGACAGACCTGGTGGACGGCCTACTGCCCTTGAGCCAGAGTCTGTCCACTCTGGCAGGGAGGCGGACATGGTGGCTGGGCTGAGCCCGAGGAAGAGCTGGCCTCTTCTCTGGTGTCGCGCTGATCTCTGACCCCCCCTGCTCTCTCGGCAGTGCATGACGAGTTCCGTGTTGCCTCGGTGGAGGGGCCCTTCCCGGGCGCGGAGCTGGAGGATTGTGGGTACAACGTGCCGCAGACGGACGAGTCCACGCTGATGACCATCGCCTACGTGATGGCGGCCGTCTGCGCCCTCTTCATGCTGCCCCTCTGCCTCATGGTGTTCCAGTGGCGCTGTGCCCGCTGCCTGCAGCCAGGAGGGGGCGACTTTGCAGACGATATCTCCCTGCTAAAGTAACCGGGCGGGGGAGGTGGGGTCTCCGGACCAGACCACACCGCACCATAGCGACAGACTGGACCGAAACGGCGCGTCTCAAGAGCAGGACACATACAGCATCACGTTCATCGACAGGTCTGGAGCAGCACATCACTGCTCAGATGGACCAGAGTGATCCACTGCCCGGAGTGATACAGTGTGGCACTCCTCTGCCAGCCTGGAGTGCTGCGCCACTCCTCTGAGAGAGCAGATTGATACACCTTGCTTCCCGCAGACTGAGGGATCATTACCAGTCTTCAATGATACAGTATCACAGTGTTCAGAACGCAGGGTGATAACAATATCACACTCCTCCAGCTCTCTGGGAGGATAGTGCCCTCTGCACACTCCCTGGGTGCTTTAAGGGGCTGGAGTGATGTCCGATTCCTGTCTGCGTCGCTGGTGTATCAGATTGCTCTAACGGGGGAGTGATGCAGTATCTCCCAGCTGGAGCAGGCCGGAGTGATGAGCGTGTCACACTGCTGTAATGGACCAGAGTGATTCAGTATGATCTTGCCATATGTTGCGAGTGATACCTCACACCTGGGCAATTAGGAAGTGTGTTGCGTCACTCCACCTAAATGCCCAGGTGCGACTCAACACTCCCGAATGCAGCCTGGACTCCCACAGGACAGGAAGGCCGGATACTGTACCTAACACCACCCTAACATCCGGGGGATGGGGTGACACCTCACTCTTGGGATTGCATCACCCCTGGGGCAGGACTGGGGAGGGCTCACACGACACACAGCCCTGTCCGCCAGAGCAGGCGGAGGGGTGTCTCAGATCATTCACTTCCTTTGAAAGCGGCGCAGCAGGGTGTTGTAACTCAGAGCCGCAGTAGCCTTGCTCCCTGGCCCGGGAGGCCAGCTGACTCCTGCCACAGGGACCACACGATCCCCAGCTGCTCTCCTGACAGAACTCAGCCAGGGGGTCAGCCGCTATCCCAGGTGCCCAGATGTCCATGGCAGGGGGTTCTGGGGAACTAGCTCAAGTATGTCTGCAGCTACTCTCACACACACACCGTCCACAAACCCCCCCCACAAACACACAGGCCCTTCCCAGCATCTGCCCCAGCCTGGCTGTGAATATCAGAGCAGTGTGACTGTAGACATTTTACTGTATTTAAGTACACAAGCAGAAAGACAGAATATATATATAAATCCAGTAACTGACCGGAGGAAGTCTGTGGGCTCGTGGCTCGGGTAGTTGTGTATAACAGGCTGTAATTTCTACGGAGGGAGCTCCTCTCTGTGCAGCAGCTGAATAAACTCCTTCCTATCTGTCCTGTTACCTCGCCTCTACTTCCAGCTACAGTAGTGTGCCCGGCTGTCGGAATCAGTGAGCTTGGTTTCTCTTCCACCATAAAAATGATTAGGCCCTTCTAAACCTGGTCGTCAGTAGCTACTTGATCCAGGGAGCTCACCCAGCTGTTTCGTGAAACGGCATATCTGCTTTGCAATCTTGGCGGGGTAGCTCGTTCCACACTCCCACAACCCTTTGCGTAAAGAAGCACCTGTTGTTCTGATTGGAGGATCTCATCCAGCTGTTTCCTGAAAGAAGCCC